TGAGCATGGGTAAAATGTAGATAAATCATACAAATATTTTGCAGTAAAATACTTCAGGGTACCAATTCAAATTTGAAGAATACTTTTTGCAAACTTCTTGAGAAAAAAGTAATTTTTTGAGCCCTTAACCACGAGCTGTACTTTGCTTCAAAGTTTCAAAATAGCCTCTTCGGAATCTTTTTCTAAACTTGCTATGATTGTTTGATTATTTTTGAAATGAGTATGCACGCTTTGATTTTGGAAACATCATCTTCGGAATTGTTAACCAAAACCTCGCTCATATATCCTAAGATTTGAATGAAATTGAATACATTGTTAAAATTTCGTAAAAACTAAGAGTTAACGGATTATGGGCGGATTCCGATATATTCGTCGTAATTTCTACAAAATATTTCAGAAATGGAACGAAAGATTATCGTTGCCTGATTTACTTGAGAGACTCAAGACTTCAATCGTATTATAATATTGATTAGTGCTTTAGAAGAATGAGTCGCTCGCAAACCGCTTTCCCCAAGAGGTAAGGACTGTGTTGTACTTGGTTCTTTGAGGCGCAGTTCAAATGATTTATGGACAAGGAAAGATGTGAAACGTAACATATCTCGAAAATTCTCCTATTCGCAAAGGATAACGGAATAAAAAACGACTCTAATATTTCCATCGTTCATTTTCTCTAATCGCACATAGCGCACATATTATATTTATTTATTTATTTGTTTATTTATTTATCCCCCCTTAAGCATATAGCTTTTGTGCACACAAGTTTGTTAGGTGGTCGTTATTTATCAAATCAAAACGACAACAAAATAACTATTAAAATAGCTCTTCCCCGACAAGTTTAACAATTTTTTTTGAAATTAAATGTGCATGCCCAAATTGATGCTTATTTGAAAGCACTCACGCGATTAATTCCTATGTATCAATTCGCTAATGGGAGCGCCTAGTAATCACTGCTAAGCAGGCGATGCGAACACGTTCACACCTTCTTCATTACTATGATTAGCGAACAAAGCCTGAAGAACCGCTGGAATGCCCTGAGTTAATCTCTCACATCGCGTGAAATAAAGGTGAACAGGCGCGTATGATGTTCGATTATTACATTGACAGAGAACCGCAAATGCAATCCATCAAAAGCTTAGCCGCGATATGACACTGTCGGAGATGATTAATAAGTACATGAAAGAGCTCCAAATAATGGCAAAAGAGAAATACTCACAATCATAGCGCCTCCAACTTGGCATACCATTATCACCATGTAGGTTTCAAGCCTTCCCATTGACTCTTTCATGGAGACGATGTCATCAAACAGCTGCACCACCCGAGCATATTCTTCTATAAATGCTTTCAGTCGGAGCTCACGCTCCATTGTCTTGAAGTAGACAACAATCTTGGCTTGAAGTTTTGTCCTAGCAGCGAAAGTAAGCTCAATATAGATATTGATAAAGAGAGGTACACAGATATTGATAGCACATGATAAGTTAAACGACACAAAAGTATTTATTTTATGACAAATGCTTCCTTTTTAATACATCGAAATCGTAAAGTAAGAAATTTTCGATAGACCTATGAGTGAAGACGCACTCAGTTTTCATTGCTAAAGTCATGAAGAATTGTAAGAAGGCGAAGAACAGCAGACAAAGAAACATGACGTCCTGATCTCATAATAACTCATCACGAGTGCGGCTCAGCGAGCGGGAGATTATGAAGTAAGTACATGAAAGCTACGACAACGCTACATTCGTGGAGGTTAGAGTTCACTGCTTTTTTAAACGAAAGGAGCCTTTGTGTCAATCAGTGAATGAATGCTGTCACCATCGGATAAAAGCTAAGCGTAATAACTTCCGGCGAGTGTGGCGCGAAGGCGGGAAGTCTTCAGCAAGACTACCTCAACCTTGCTAATGACCCATTAGCACACCACTAGGCAATGTTATAACAAAAAAAA